TAGTAGTAGTAGTAGTAGTAGTAGTAGTAGTAGTAGTAGTAGTAGTAGTAGCAGTAGTAGTAGTAGTAGTAGTAGTAGTAGTAGTAGCAGTAGTAGTAGTAGTAGTAGTAGTAGTAGCAGTAGTAGTAGTAGTAGTAGTAGTAGTAGTAGTAGTAGTAGTAGTAGTAGTAGTAGTAGTAGCAGTAGTAGTAGTAGTAGTAGTAGTAGCAGTAGTAGTAGTAGTCAGTAGTAGCAGTAGTAGTAGTAGTAGTAGTAGTAGTAGTAGTAGTAGTTAGTAGTAGTTTAGTTTTTATCTCATGTTTTTGTACTGTACATGCTCAGAATACTGTGTGTACTTCCACATGAGCTGTGAGCTGCTCCGTCCTCACTCAGGTCATGTTGTACAGTGACACAATAGGCTCTAACACTACACATGTCAATCACTGCACATTGTACTCTGCTGTGTGTAATCTGCACCATTGTACTGCATGTGTACTATAGAAAAGTGCACATGTGTCAGTATGGAAATGAGACAGGCCTGCGGAGGCTGATAACAAGTATATGCTCGTCTGAATACTCTAAGTATACGCTGTCATCATGTTCTACAGTATGATGTTATCATCTCAGACAGAGGACAGGGATCTATAGAACTCTTTATATAACTTTATAGGAAATTCTCCAGTTCTAAAGAAATCTTCAAACTTCTGATCCACAAATGTTTCTCCTTGTCATTCTTTGTTTGGGATCAGCTCCACAAATACAGTATGAATCTTCTGGTTTAAAGTCCTTTAGGCTGAAACACTCACGTCTTTGGGGTTGAATAAAGGCTCCACTTTCTGGACTTATTGTGAAAAGATCATTTGACTTTTGTTTATTTATACTGACAGAGAAGGAACTGAACTGACGTTTTCTGTGTCATGTGGACAGGCTCATTCAGGGCACAGATCGAGCTCCACTGGCGCTCAAGCACCTGCCTTGTTGCCTCTATGCCCCTTTGCCCCTTTGCCCCTTCGCCTCTATGCCCCTTTGCCCTAGTGCCCTCATGATGAGCAGATATTTTAATTTAGATTTTTGTCCCATGAAAACAGCCCACGTGTAAAAGTGTTTTTAAGCATTGTGTGAATATTCATTCACAGTCCAGTGTGAGACCACAGCTCACAGACAGGGGGCGCTCAGTGTGCTCAGAGCAGGGACAGAGTGGGACAGAGCAGAGGCTGGGGGATTTATTTTAACTTATTTTCAAATCAGGATGCTCGGAATGTATAAGGTACGTGAAGAATAACTTTGGGCCAAGGCAAACTGCTGAAAAAAGTTTTTCACGGTTTAAAATCAGGTATTGCCTTCATTTTCATAGTGCTCCTTTAATTTGTGTCTCCCAACCACCAGGGGGCGATACATTTGTGTAAAGAGAGTGGCTACATTTACAGGGACTCAAGAATTATAAAACTTGATTTAAACTTTCAAAATGTCTTTGCCACATTAAAGTTAGATGTATGATGTATGAAATGTAATATCAGTGTGGTTTTAGTGGTAGTATCATTAGATTATTATGAGTAGTACTCAATACTGTAGTAGTAGTAGTAGTAGAAGTAGTAGTACTAGTAGTAGTAGTAGTGGTAGTAGTAAGAGGAGGAGTAGTAGCAGATAGTTACAATATTAGTTGTAGTAGCAGAAGTTGCAGTAGAAGTTGCAGTAGTAGTAGTAGTAGTAGCAGCAGTACTAATGGTGGTTGTAGTATTAGTAGTAATATTAGTTGTAGTAGAAGTTGCAGTAGTAGTAGTAGCAGCAGTAGTAATGGTGGTTGTAGTATTAGTAGTAATAATAGTTGTAGTAGAAGTTGCAGTAGTAGTAGTAGCAGCAGTAGTAATGGTGGTTGTAGTATTAGTAGTAATAATAGTTGTAGTAGAAGTTGTAGTAGTAGTAGCAGCAGCAGTAGTGGTAGTTGTAGTATTAGTATTAGTAGAGTAAAGTGTTAATGTGATCAAAGTGAATCCTGAAGGTCCAGTTCTGTTGTACTTCACTGGAGTACACCCTGTGTTTATGTTCTGTAATATTTATACAAATATACAAATATCACATGTACTCATGTGTGTCAAGGACTACACCAGGTCTACTAAGGGTGTAGGTTTACACAGGGACAGTGGGGACATGTCACAATCAATATTTGGGGAAGACAAAATAGTCCCCATCAATATTTGCCATTTTATTTTAATAAACACAAATATACATTTATTCCAATATTTTTCCAAACTCAATAGTATTCATGAAGTATTCATTGGGTGGAACAGAGTGATGTCATTAGTGGAGTCAGGAGCCTAAACTGGGGAAGCGTCAGGACAGTGCAGCACCTGAAGATGTCGACTTGAGCAGGTGTGAGTGAAGACGCTGCACTTGGCTTCATCTTCAGTTAAACTTGTCTTATAATGAGTTAATGCAGAAAAAGAGCGACTATCAGCACAAGTGCACCTCCCAAACAGAGCTCTACTCGTGCACTGTGACGCCCCGACTCTACTGACAATATTCCATGGAAAAATATACGGACTTGACCTCACAAATATCTCATCACCAACAAGCAAAGAGAAATCTGATACAAACTTCTACATCACTGTTTTCCACTAAAGAATCATCTTAGAAGAACAATGAACACAAACTGAAAAAAGAAACCAACTCTCACTTATTGTGGACCTGCCCAGACTCTGTGTGTTCATAAAACATATGATGAGGGGGTGTGTCTATAACTGGTCTAGACCAGCACCAGTCCAGGTTTATAACAGGACTACATTAGAACTCAGACCAGACTAAATCAGAACTAAACCACAACCATTTCCAAGGGTCATACCTGTACACAGCATGTTTTAGTTCTGATTTTCCAGTCAAAAGCAGAATGAGCCTCACATGAGTCTCATGTGTTGCCAGTTTGATGCTGAAATTCTGCTGGTTTGATCTGAATGGTCTTTACCTAAACCCCAGCACCTGCAGCAGTCATGAGTCAGTGCTAGTGCAGCGTCTGCAGCTCAGGGAGGGAATTCTGGAGGTTCTGAGCTTCACATGAGGCCTGTTCTGTCCATAAACTCAGGATGAGACACACTTGGACATGTCGCCTCTCTGCAGGTGAAGACTGTACAAGTACAAACAGAACCAGACACACACACACACAGCTCCTTTAAACTGGACTCTCTGGGTTTTAAAAGCCAAACCTGTTTTAGTGCAATAAAAATATCCACTCAGCTGTGAGTAGAAGACAGCATCAAAAAGAAAAGAGGTACATTTTTCAAAACAGGGAAATCTGGTTTTGCAAATTAAGTTTTTAATTAGATTTTTTTCAAACTGAAGTTGCAATAACTTTTTGTCTAAAGTGCACAGTGCTTCAGCTCATGACTCATGTTCATGACTAAACCAGGACTAAACCAGAACTAAACCAGGTCTAAACCAGAACTAGACCAGGACTAAAGCAGAACTAAACCAAACCAGAGCTAGACCAAAAGTGCACAGTGCCTCAGTCCACTCACCGGTAATGTTGATGACAAAACCAAGACTAAACCAGAACTGGACCAGAACTAAACCAGGACTGTTGCCTATGACACGTGCCTCAGTCCAATCACTAACTAGACTGGGACTAAACTAGGGCTAAACCAGAACTAAACTGGGACTAAGACAGAACTAGACCAAGATTAAACCAGGAATAACAGGTCTCAATCAGGACTAAACCAGGACTCAACTAACTAACCAGACTAAACCAGAACCAGATCAGAACTAAACCCGGACTTTTGCCTCGGTCCACTCATTGGTCATGTTGTTGATTAAACCAGGTCCAAACCAGAACTAGACCAGGACTAAACCAAAACTAAACCAGGACAAATCCAGAACTAGACCATGATTAAACCAGAACTAAACCAGGATTAAACCAGATTCAAATCAGAACTAGACCAGGATTAAAGTAGGAATAAACCAGAACTACACCAAAAGAACACAGTGCCTCGGTCCACTCACTGGTAATACACATGACTAAATCAGGACCAAACCAGGACTAAACCAGAACTGGACCAGGATTAAACCAGAACTAAACCAGGACTAAATCTAAACTAAACCAGGACTGTTGCCTCAGTCCACTCACCGCTCAAGTTGATGATTAAACTGGGACTAAACCAGAACTAAACCTGGACAAACCAGAACTAGACCAGGATTAAACCAAAACTAGACAAAGATTAAACTAGAACTAAACCAGAACTAGACCAGAATTATACCAGAACTAAACCAGTTTTACACCTGAAGTAGACTAGGACTAAACCAGAACTAAACCAGGATTAGATCAGAACTAAACCAGGACGAAATCAGAACTAGAGTAGGATTAAATCAGAACTACACCAGGTTTAAACTAGAATTAGACAAGGACTAGACTGGAAGTGGAATAAACCAAATCTTGACCAAAAGCGTACGGTGCCTCGGTCCACTCACCGGTAATGTTCACGACTAAACAGGTGCCCAACCAGGACTAGACCAGAACTGGACCACAAGTAAACCAGGACTGTTGCCTCGGTCCACTCCCTGGTCATGTTGATGATTAAACCAGGACCAAACCAGAATTGGAGCAGGATTAAACCAGAACTAGACCAGATCCAAACCAGAACTAAACCAGGACTAAACCACAACTGTAGGATTAAACCAGGTCTAAACCAGAACCAGACCAGGATTAAACTAGAACTACACCAGAACTAAACCAGGTCTAAACCAGAACTAGATCAGGGTTAACCAGAACTAAACCAGGACTAAACCAGAACTAAACCAGGACTAAACCAGAACTAGACCATGATTAAACCAGAATGAAACCAGGATTAAACCAGAACTAAACCAGAACTAAACCAGGACTAGACCAGGATTAAAATAGGAATAAACCAGAACTACACCAAAAGCGCACGGTGCCTCTGTCCACTCACCGGTAATGTTCACGACTAAACCAGGACCAGGACTCGACCAGGATTAAACCAGAACTAAACCAGGACTCTTTGCCTCTGTCCACTCACCGGTCATGTTGATGTTCTGCTCGCAGGAGAACCAGATCCCGGTGTGGAACTTCCTCATGACGTACTTGTCCTCCCCGGTCTCCCAGATGTACTGCACGAGGCGGGAGTCGTTGATGTTGGAGCTGTTGAAGCGGATGCAGAACGCCTGCCTCGTGGTCACTGGCCCGGTACAGAACGGCTTGACCACCTTCCTCGTGCCCTCGCACCAGTAGCTCGTGGTGAGCGCGGACACGGCCAAGAACAGCGCCACGAAGTTCAACGTGAGAGCCAGAGACGCCCTCCGCCGCCGGTCTATACCCATGACGCGGACCGGGACTCAAACAGGACTAAAACAGGACTAAAACAGGACTAAAACAGGTACTAGACCCCAGACCGGGACTAAACTAGGACTAAACCAGGATTAAACCGCGACTAAAGCAGAACCAAACCGGGTCTAAACTAGGACTAAACCGGAACTAGACCGGGATTAAAACAGGACTAGACCAGAACTAGACCCCAGACCGGGACTAAACTAAGACAAAACCAGAACCAGACTGGGACTAAACTTGGACTAAACCAGTGCTAGACCCGGACTAAATTAGGACTAGACCAGACCTAGACCGGGACTAAACCATTACTGGACCGGGACTAAATTAGGACTAAACCAGTACCAGACCAGGACTAAACTAGGACTAGTCCAGAACTAGACGGGACTAAATTAGAACTAAACCGGCCTGGGACTAAACCAGCACTAAACCAGTACCAGACCAGGACTAAACCAGGACTAAACCAGAACTAAACAAATACTAGATCGGGAATAAACCGGTCCGAAACCAGACCGGGACTAAACCAGGACTAAACCAGTATTAAACCGGGACTAAACCAGTACGAAACCAGAACTAGACCGGGAATAAACCTGAACTAGACTAGAATTAAACCCGGACTAAACCAAAACTGGACCGGAACTAAACCAGGTAAGCTATTAAACCAGGACAGAACTAGGACTAAACCAGAACTAGACCAGGGAGAGCAGGTCTTCATCAGGACTAAACCAGGACTGAACTAACTAACCAGACCAGACTAAACCAGAATAAGACTAAAGGACTAAAACAGGACTAAACAAGGTCAGAAGAAAATCAGAACGAGACCGAGACTAAACCACGGACTAGACCCAGACTTAACCCAGAACTAAACCAGAACTAGACCCGGAGAGTGTGGCTCGGTCTCCGGCTCGGGTCTGTGCGCACGGCGGGGCGCGGAGCTGACAGGACCCGGGGGGAGGAGGAAGCGCTGCGCACGGCGAAGCTACGGAGGAGTTTAAAGAATCCGCTTTGGGTCAGACCCGGTACCGGTGCGGGCGGGTCGGGGTCAGGTCTCCGGGTGAACTTAAATCCTCATAATCCGGTTCCTCCCGTGGACCGTATCCGTGGCTAATTACGCGCTGGCACCGCTCCTCCGCACGCGCATCTGTCGCTCCGCTCACATCTGCCGCTCGCGTCCGCCGCTCCGTCTCGTTTTGTACTCCGCCCCCCCTCCTCCCCGGTCCGCACGTCACCCTCCTTCCTCCTCCCCCCGCCCGGACGCCACCTCAGCACCGGCACACGCACACGCACACACGCACACGTGCGTCTCTGCTCCCGTGACCCGCTTTTATCCCAGTCGTTCCAGTTTCGTGCGTAAACAGATGATTACCGTAAAAACAGCTGCTCGGCCGTACGCTCCGGTTTAAGCGCGTGTCAGGAGAGATTACACGCGCCTCGGAGGGATTTAGGCTAAAAGAATCGGATCTTTATGATTCATTGTTTTGGGTTATTCTAAATCTGTTGGGCAAACGCGGCTCCAGGAGGTTTGTGCGCGCGCGGGAAATGACACAATCGAGTTTTGTCAGCTCCGATTGAAAACTGAGCTGTTGTAACTTAAAGGTGCATTAACTCTCCAGACCTAAGAGCAGTTTTAGTACATTTGTCCTCCCCTGGATTGTTTTCTTAATGTTAAAACTCCCCCCTTTACCCTCTAATGAAGTGTTATACATCGTTTTGTTTTGTTTTCTTTTTTCAGTACAGCCTGTTATTTCACAATCTGCTGCTGGAGTTGTGTCATATGACCAGTGTTGGGAAGGTGACTTTTAAAATGTATTCCCCTACAGATTACAGATTACATACACCAAAGTGTAGTTTGTAACATAATCCATTAAATTACTTAAAGTGAGTAACATAATCTGAATACTTTGGATTACTTGATTTGCTGTAGAGAAGCAAAGACTCAGATTTCTTCACATAAGATGTTTTGTCTGCTAAAAGAAAATAAAAAGCCCAAACTTTACATAACTGTATGAAAAATATTATTAATAGAAGAAGAGAAGACGTGGTCCACGCAGCATGTTTTAGTCCTGGTTTAGACCTGGTTTAGACCTAGTTTAGACCTAGTTTAGACCTGGTTTTAGACCTGGTTTTACACCTGATTTGGACCTGGTTTTAGACCTGGTTTTAGGCCTGGTTTTAGGCCTGGTTTGGACCTGGTTTAAACCTGGTTTAGACCTGGTTTTAGACCTGGTTTAGTGTCCGGCAATGAGTGGAATTACGGGGAAAAAAAAAAAAAAAAAAAAAAAGGGATATAGCCCAAAATGTGAAAACAGGAAAATACCACTGTGTAATCCATTTATTTTAACAAAGTAACTGTAATCCAATTACCACTCAGTGAAACAGTAACTGTAATTGAATACAGTTACTCATAATTTGTACTGATTATGTTACTCCGGTACATGTAATCTGTTACTCCCCAACACTGACTATGGCTGTACTAAACCAGAACTAAACCAGGACTCTTTGCCTAAGGAGCACGTGCCTCAGTCCACACTAACTAGACCGAGACTAAACTAGTCCGAAACCAGATCGGGACTAAACTAGGATTAAACCAGTATAAATCCTATATATACTAGACCAAGACTAAACCAGAACTAAACCAGAGCTAGACTAGAACCAAACCAGGACTAAACCAAAACTAGATCGGAACTAAACCTGGACTAAACCAGGTAGGCTGTTAAACCAGGGCTGAACTAGGACTACACCAGAACTAGACCGAGACAAAACCAGGGAGAGCAGGTCTCAATCAGGACTAAACCAGGACCAAACTAACTAACCAGACCAGACTAAACCAGAATAAGACCGAGGACTAAAACAGGACTAAACAAGGTCAGAACAAAATCAGAACTAGTTTGAGATTAAACCATGGATTTGACCCAGACTTAACCCAGGACTAAACCAGAGCTAGACCAGGTCTAAATCAGAACTAGACTAGGACTAAAGCAGGAATAAACCAGAACTAAACCTGGGGCTAAGACAGAACTAGACCAGGTCTAAATCAGAACTAGACCTGGACTAAAGCAGGATTAAACCAGAACTAAACCAGGTCTAAACCAGAATTGGATCTGGATCAAACTAGAACTAAACCAGGTCTAAACCAGTACAGTGGCCTCATGACTTTCCTGGTGTCAGTCATGTTTACAGCTGGTGTCAGGTCCAGGGCACAGAGCCACATCACTTCCTGCGTTTCCATGGGCGTTTATTACATTTGGATTTGTACATTTGGACTGAAAGTGGTGGGATCCAGGCCAGTGGGAGGCAGTGAAGAAGCCTGCAGACCAGACAGAACAAGGCTGGTGCTGTGGGAGTAACTGTTCACCTGTCAGCCAACAGGGCTCAGGCAGCACAGAACCAGTAGTTACAAACTCGGGACAATGGACAGGTCTACATCACCCCGAAAGGCGACAGAGGTACACAGAAGTCAGGTGGAGTTCACAGGGGCGCCCTCTGAAGTGAGGATGGCGTCTCGTGTGAAGGTTCACCATGGGAGGATGGAGCTGCTTGGGGCTACAAGGACGTTGGAGGAGTTGTGGAGCGGCACGGCTGACGACTGCCTTGTGTTCATGTGGCTGTGGAGTGTTTGGTGCTCAACTGTAGCTGTGTGCAGTTGGAGCAATCGGAGCAAGTTTGTTGCATTTGATTTGAGTCTCTTATTTTTGTTTATTTGTGCTTTTGTTTGTGTTGACTCCAGAAATCTGTTTCTGTTTCCACAAAGTGAAACCGGCTGATGAATCAGTCTGTTTTCTCTATAATAATGCCAGAAAAATGCTTGGAAAGCCAGTAAAAAAAGTCTCTATCTTTTATGGTTGGAAAGTTATGCACACTTATATAAAACATATTCTCAGGGATCGTATGATACTGTCAGTCTGGAAGGATTAAAAGTGCACTATGTAACTTTTTAGTTGCTTGTTTCTATGGAGATGTCATTGCTCTGCCTGGAATGTTCCACAGTGTGACATTAAACAGCTCCACCTTACATTTATTCAATTACAGGTGGTTTTAGCTCAAAAATACCTAGAAAAACAGACATTCTGACAGTGAGCGGGGTCGCCTCTCCACAGATCTGACCTGTAACTTGGTCTGGTTTGGTTGCCATAAAGATAGAAAGATTTAACGCCACATGTGTGCAAAATCCCTCAGTTGTCCAGGGAGAATCCATGGCCAAAGGATTTTTCAACTGAACAAAACTTTTTGTTATTAGGTTCTTTTTTCAGACCAAGAGTTTGTTTTCAGACCTGACAGTTTGTTCTGCTCCCTGAAGTTGAAGTGAAGTTGCTGTGATGTGTCTGGTCAGCTGATTTAAACAGGTTTTGGAACTGTCTTTCTACCGGTGGAGGCAGGATGACAGCGCCACCTGCAGTCTGACTTCCTCAGGACAGTATCCCAGGTGTGTGTCCCAGTCCAGAATGTGCTTCTCTCTTTTTCAATGTCACAGATGGATGATTTAAGTTGTTCCTGTTCTGCTCCACAGAGCTAGTCTCCATGTCCGGAGATCCGGTCGTTGAGGCGCCCGCCTTCGACTGCTGCCCAGATCTCTCAGCACCAGCTCCTTATGGCTCCTCCTGCAGGTGGTGGGCCCACAGAAGGGCGGCGCCATGTCGCTCATTCAGGCGATGCCCGGCTGGCCACCAGACGCTTGCCGTCGGGCACCCACCCCAGGCCTGGCTCCAGGGTGGAGCCCTGGTAATGCCATTCTGGGCGACGTATCTGGCCTCATTGGTACATGCAACATAGGGGGCTTCTGAACCATTCTTCGTCTGACGTGTCTCCCTGGACCTGTTTGCCTCGGGTGACCCTACCAAGGGCATGAAGCCCCCGACAACATAGCCCCCGAGAATCATTCGGGCACTCAACCCCCTCCACCACGTTAAGGTGACGGTTCAAGGACCAACCTCACTGTTTTCCCGATGTGTTTTATTGCAGGACACACAGGGTGTTTCCTATACGACATTACTTTTAT